ACTCAGCTCATGCAGTGAGAAATGATGGCGTTACACCTCATTCATTCACAATCCCTCAAACCAATCGCGAGACAGACATACACTGAAAAAAAAAAAAAAATTTATTTGTGTCGACTTTAAACAAATTAAATTTTGTAATTTTCAACTTGATTTGTTTTAAATTCAGCACAAATAAATTGTTTACAACCACTTAACTTAAAACATTTTAGTAAATCCAAGGAATCATTTAATTATTTTATTTTTTTCAGCGTACAGTTGAGGTTAAAATTATTATTTTTTATTTCGGCTAATAGAAAAGCAGTTTTAATTTTTTTAAAGCCATTTCAAGGTCAAAATTATTTGTTTTCTTTTTAAATTATAGATGATGTTTAACAGAGCAGGGAAATTTTCACAGTATTTCCTATATTTTTTTCTTCTGGAGAAAGTCTTATTCGTTTTATTTTGGCTAGAAGAAAAGCTGTTTTTAATTTTTTAAAGCCATTTTAAGGTCAAAATTATTTGTTTTTTAGATGATGTTTAACAGAGCAGGGATATTTTCACAGTATTTCCTATAATATTTTTTCTTCTGGGGAAAGTCTTATTTTTTATTTTGGCTAGAAGAAAAGCCTTTTTTAATTTTTTTTAAAGCCATTTTAAGGTCAAAATTATTTGTTTCCTTTTTAAATTATAGATGACGTTTAACAGAGTATAAACTTTTCATAGTATTTCCTATAATATTTTTCTTCTGGAGAAAGTCTCATTCGTTTTATTTTGGCTAGAAGAAAAGTCGGTTTTAATTTTTTAAAAGCCATTTTAAGGTCAAAATTATTTGTTTTTTAGATGATGTTTAACAGAGCAGGGAATTTTTTTACAGTATTTCCTATAATATTTTTCTTCTGGGAAAAGTCTTATTTTTTATTTTGGCTAGAATAAAAGCCTTTTTTAATTTTTTAAAGCCATTTTAAGGTCAAAATTATTTGTTTCCTTTTTAAATTATAGTTGATGTTTAACAGAGCAGGGACATTTTCACAGTATTTCCTATAATATTTGTTCTTCTGGAGAAAGTCTTATTTGTTTTATTTCAGCTTGAATAAAAGCAGTTTTCAATTTTTTAAAAGCCATTTTAAGATCAATATTATTAGCCTCTTTAAGCTATTTATTTTTCAGTTGTCTTCAGAACAAACCACTGTTATGCAATGGTTTGCCTGATTACTCTAATTAACCTAGTAAATGTCACTTTAATTCTAGTATCTTAAAAAATATCCGGTAGGCAGTGTTGGGTAAATTAAAAAAGTAATAAATTACTGAAATTACAACTGGAAAATTGTAATCTGATTACATTGTTAATTACTTTGTGTAAAAAGTAATCAGATTACTCATTAATTTACTTTAAAGTTACTTTTGAAACAAATAAAATATACCTATAAAAATACAAAAGAAATAAGCTGCAGCTCTTTCAGTAATTTAATATTCACTGAAAAAAATTACAATGGGTTGATCACAGCAGCTTGACATATTCAAAAGACTCAAAGAATTCACCCAAATCCTAAAATTCTCTCATCATTCCACTTGTTCCAAACCTTTTTGTCTTTTTTAACACAAAAGAAGACATTTAGAAGAAAACTGGATCCCTTTAACCATTGACATCCATATGCAAAACCACTGCAGTGTTTGGGTGTTCTGTCCCAGCTAGCAAAGTTCATGTGGCTCAAGCCCGGCCCACCAGACACTTACATCCGGCCCACATACCGCATGGAATGATGGCACTTGGTCCTGTTTGCCAGATCTAGACCACAATTAAGCCATAGCAATATCACATATCAGCCAGAATTTAACCAAATGAATCAGAACTGACCCCATTCTGGGCCACAGTTGGCTTTCATTCTGGCCCACACCAGACACTTACATCTGGACCACATACTGAAGGAATGATGGCTTTAGGGCGGTCTGCTCCTGTTTGTCAGATCTGGGCCACAAATAAGCCAAAGCAATATCACATATCAGTCAGAATTCAACCAAATGAACCAGAACTGACCCTATTCTGGGCCACAGTTTGCTTTTATTTTGGCCCAGATCTGGCCTATTAATTCTAATAATGGATTAAACATTATGAATTATATTATTTCATCACAGGTTGTGCTGCACAAACAAACTTTGCAAGCAAACTTCTTAAAAGTTACAGCAGCCAAAAGAAAATGTATATTAAGAGGTTCAGGGCTATGAGCCCAACTAGCAAACACTGTTCTCCATGATGGTGACTTTAGTCTATATGGTCCATATAGGTTTTAAGATAACTGGGCCACATTTGCCTTATCTCCTCTGGGCCGCCTTAGGCTCACAGCCACATTAGCCAGAGCTAACTGTGCCAAATATTCGCCAAAATTAGCCCACATTTTTTTTAGGATAACTGAAAGATAAAAGAAGTCAGTTATTAGAAATGAGCTGTTAAAATTATTATGTTTAGGAATGTGTTGCAAAAATCTTTCCATTATACAGAAATTGGGAAAAGAAAAAATTCAGAAGGGCAAATAATTTTGACTCTAACTGTATGTAAACTGCCAACACAATCTCACGGCAATTCGTAACTTTTTCATTTAGTGGCTAATTCGTATGAATTTGTACAATCTAATTCGTACAATTTAGTACGATTTGCTCATCCCCCAATGACGGTTGGGGTTAGGGGTGGGGTCAGGTGCCACGCCTTCTTTTTAAAATCGTACCATTTCGTACGACTGAACTCGTACGAATTCGTACGAATTAGCCACTAAACTGGCAAAACGTAAAATACTTACGTTTTCTCGTGAGATCAGGCTGAAACTACATAAAAAACAAAAAAAAAATGAAAGAATTAATAGTCATTCACCTTAATATCACCATCATTATAATGTTCAAAATTGTAATATTAGTATTAGGAAAGTTACTTTTGAAAGTAATGCATTACAATATTGAGTTACTTCCTAAAAAATTAACTATGCATTACTTAGTTTCTTTTTAAGTAAAGTACATTACATTGATACTTTTTCCTACTTATTCATTCATTCATTTTCTTGTTAGCTTAGTACCTTATTAATCCGGGGTATTTATTAATCCACAGCGGAATGAACCGCCAGCAACTTATTCAGCAAGCTTTTTGTGAAACTTCCACACACACACTCACACACAACGGACAAATTAGCCTACCCAATTCACCTGTACCGCATGTCTTTTGACTGTGGGGGAAACCGGAGCACCCGGAGGAAACCCACGCGAACGCAGGGAGAACATGCAAACTCCACACAGAAACACCAACTGAGCCGAGGTTCGAACCAGCAACTCAGCGACCTTCTTGCTGTGAGGCGACAGCACTACCTACTGTGCCACTGCCTCGCCCTTTATTCCTACTTAGCTGAGGCTTTTTTTTTAATAGAGGAGCTCTAGAATTACCAATGCGCTGTATAAAAAAACAAAAAATTATAATTTAGGATAATGTTATCTTCTGAAAACTTCCCGACCAAAATACATATAATTATAATTAATATTGTATGTAAAAAAAACATATTATTTAATCAACTAAAACCTATTCAAGTTTTTCATATGATGTGAAATTAATTTTTAATTTCCAGTATATGAGAATCACCATTAAGGGGTGGAAAAATTACAATAAACATCTGTTTATGCAATGCAGAAATGATTATTTGGGAGGAAATGGCTTGATTAAAACAATGCAAAACTATAATGTTTCAATAGAAATTAAGTTTATTTTTTTAAAACCACAAACAATAAGCACTCAGGGGGTTACTCAAATAATTGGTCGGTGAACTTTGGGTAAGGGATTCATCAAAACAACAACAGAAATCAGTCCAAGGCACTTGAAAAATGTGGAAAATTTAAAAAGCCTTTATTCACATGGCTAAATCTTAAAAAACCTACGCGTTTCAGCAGGAAACTGCCTTCATCAGGGTAAAACAAGTCAGGTGCGGCTGGAGTATCTTTTGATTACTACGGTCACACGACTCATCTAAACATCTCAACAACACTCAAATACTCAAACAAACAAGGTCAACTATTATCATTAGTTCAGCATAGATAGAAGAGGGCACACAACATTGTGTTACCCTGATGAAGGCAGTTCCCTGCTGAAACGCGTAGTTTTTTTTAAAGATTTAGCCATGTGAATAAAGGCTTTTTAAATTTTCCACATTTTTCGACTGATTTCTGTTGTTGAGTTTATTTTTAATTTTACATGTAATTTATTTCTTTCAGTTTGATCTTGGAGTTAAATGTAATGTTGTTTTACTCATAAATTTGACTAAATTAATGAGAAAATTGGTCATTTATAGTATGTAAATGCAATATAGTACAAGTATTTTAAAACTATATTAATACAGCCTTTAATCAGTTACAGTATTTGTTTAAATAGCTAGTTAATTACCCGAATAATTACAAAATAGTGGGCTAACACAATGAAAATACCTGTGAAATTCTAAAATACAAAATGTGAAATAGTATTGTTTAAATAAAATATTCTTGATTGTTTTCATTTTATACATCTTTATTTTATTTACATTTTGTTTTAAGTACAATGGTAATATCATGGCAATTTATCATATCCCATGCATGGTACTAAATGCTTATCATACACTTTGTAAAATACAAATAACATAGTTGCCTACTCTTTGGGTACAATATATACTGAATTTAAGTTACCATGGTATTAAAAAGTACACTATTTAGCAAAATTGCAAAACTGAATCCGACATTTGATGATGTTACATGACATATGATGCTGTTATTTATTCATAACTAAGCTATATGTTCCTTTAAATATGTGCGTCTTTGTGTTTGTTTACAGTTTTGTCATTAGCCAAAACAAAAGCGGAGGCATATTTTTAATCAGAAACCCTAAATGTGTGAGTATTTTCTTTATAGCTTTCCGTAAAAGTCGCTGTCATCATACGTAATATATCATCAGGACAAGTTGGAGCGGAATATATCCTGTTTAAACAATGTTTTTTTTCTTACATTTGTCTTCTCTCTCGCACTCACAACTGGAGCGCGCGCACGGCGCAAGTTGGGCGAGAGCGCGCACAGACGGACGTTAAGCGCGCGTTTGATTGAAAGAGGCACAAGCACAGCTCCAGCTCACAGGATCATCAAAAACGCCCTCCAACTACATTCATCCAACTATTATTGACATAAATCCGCAGATATGTACTGCGAAGACAATTAAACGAAATCCTCGATGAAAAAGAAGCTGGAATATGCCTCCACCTGACATCCAAAGGTAAAAAATCTCCTCGGAAACCTCAGGAATTGTGATTTACGCTAACTAAGACTGATATTTTAACTAATCCGGAGGATATACTTATATTAAAATCGTTCTGGGGAACTCGGTGGCTGTTTCTTATATGAAGATAAGTGTTGGTGAAGCAGGGATGATGACAGTTTGAAGCGGACGCGACTCCCGCCGCTCATTTTCATGGAGTTTATAAGCGGGAGCCGCTAGAATGGAAACCGTGATTGATGAAACGGAGGCCTTACAGAGATTCTTCGAAGGTAAGACAGCTCATTGATCACTTGATGTGACGCTTCCAAAATAGTTGTAAAGATTACTTAAGAAGTTGCCTGTCAGTTCACTAGGTTATCCCTAACACAGCGACGAATCAGGTGGTAATTCTGTGGTACTCTGTGTTTACCATATAACATTAGTCAAGTTTCTTTCAAATAATCCAGAATCCTGAAGTAAATCCTCAACCCCAAGTTTCAACCAGACAAAAATTTGTTTTAAAGATTACTAAAAGTGGCCTGTCAGATCACCAGCCACGAATCAGGTGGTAATATGGTACTCTGTATTTACCATAGCCAAGTTCCTTTCAAATAATCCAGAATCCTGAAGTAAATCCCTAACTCTAAATTTCAACCTAAAAGTAGTCTTAAAGATTACTAAAAGTTACCTGTCAGTTCACTATAGTTCATTCCTAACTCATTGACGAATAAGGTGGTATTACAGTGGTACTCTGTATTTACCATATAGTTAAGTTTCTTTCAAATAATCCAGATAAAGTAAATCCCTAACTCTTAATTTCAACGAGACTAAAAATAGTTTTAAAGATTACTAAAAGTTGCCAGTCAGTTCCCTGGTTTGTTCCTAATACATAGATGAATAAGGTGGTATTACTATGGTACTCTGTATTTACCATATAGTCAAGTTTTCTTTTAAATAATCCAGAATAAAGTAGGGTTGCGGCTGGATGGGCATCCTCTGCGTAAAAACGTGCTGGATAAGTTGGCGGTTCATTCCACTGTGGCGACCCCGAATTAAAAAAAAGGACTAAGCCGAAAAGAAAATGAATAAATGACTGAAGTTCCTTTAAAAAAATTCAGAATCCTGAAGTAAATTCCTAACTCTAAATTTCAACCAGACTAAAGATTACTAAAAGTTGCCTGTCAGTTCACTATAGTTCATTCCTAACACAGCGGCGAATAAGGTGGTATTACTATAGTACTCTGTATTTACCATATAGTTAAGTTTCTTTCAAATAATCCAGATAAAGTAAATCCCTAACTCTAAATTTCAGCCAGACTAAAAATAGTTTGAAAGATTACTAAAAGTTGCCTGTCAGTTCCCTGGTTTATTCCAAACACATAGATGAATAAGGTGGTATTACTATGGTACTCTATATTTACCATATAGTCAAGTTTTCTTTTAAATATTCCAGAATAAAGTAAGGTTGTGGCTGGAAGGGCATCCGCTGCGTAAAAACGTGCTGGATAAGTTGGCGGTTCATTCTGCTGTGGCGACCCCGGATCACTAAAGGGACTAAGCCGAAAAGAAAATGAATGAATGAATGAATGAATAAAATCCCTACACTGTCAAAAAAAATCTTGCTGCCTTAATTTTTTTTTTGTTGAATCAAATTATTTTTTCAGTCAGTTCAATTTACACCAAACATATTGTGTATGATGAAAACTTATTAAAATATCATGCTTTTTATGACTTTTTGTTATACAGTGTGTTTGAGTTTCTTCTGTTGATCACAAAAGAAGATATTTTGAAGAATGTTGGCAAGCAGCAGCCATTGACTTCATAGATGTCAATGGCTGCTGCTTTCCGGCATTCTTCAAATGAACTTTCCTATAGTCATCTCAACTTACATTAATCTAGCTGAATAAACATTAATTTTGTATATCTTAAAAAATTAGCTGACACCTGATTAACTTATTAAAATAAGTTAAAGCGACATAAAAATATTTGTTGTCTTGACTTTTGGCCATTACATTTGTTTACAGTGTAGTTTCAAACACATTTTAATCTATTACACTCAAAAAAAGATCTTTTGTTCAAACTACTTATTTAAAATGAGTTGAAACAACACAATTCTTATTTTTTTTGGGAAGGACAACTTAATTGTTTTATGATCAATTTACTTAAATTTGTAAATATGATTAGGTTGACTTAAGCGATTTGTGTTGGGACAACATGAAGGAATTGTGTGGGACCCAGCAGTTTAACAGTGTACATTTGAAGAGTCAGACCCAGCTGGAATAAACCAAAAATTAAAAGGATAGTTCATCCAAAAATTAAAATTCAGTCATCATCATCATGTGTTAATTTTTTTTTAGTTCAATTAACTTGACTTTTCTAGTCATTTCAATTCACAATTCAAACTAAACATATTGCATATTATGAAAATTAACTTATTAAAATATCATAAAAACGCTTGTTGTTATGACTTTTCGTTAGTGTGTTTGAGTTTCGCCTGTTGATCACAAAATAAGTTATTTTGAAGAATGTTGGAAAGCAGCAGTCACTTACTTCATACTATACTAGATGTCAATGGCTGCTGCTTTCCAGCATTCTTCAAATTAACTTTTCTAGTCATCTCAACTTACATTAATCAAGCTGAATAAACATATTAAGTTAAACTTTGTATAGCTTAAAAGTTATTTGACATCTGATTAACTAACTAAAATTATTACTTATTATAAAAAACTGATTAACTTTTACAATATGATAAACATCCTTGTCATGACTTTTTGTAACAGTTTGTTTGAGTTTTTTTCTGTTAATCACAAAAGAAAATAATTTGAAGAATGTTGGAAAGCAGCCACTGGCTTCATACAATAGATGTCAAAGGCTGCTGCTTTCCAGCATTCTTCAAATGAATTTTTCTAGTCATCTCAACTTACATTAATTAAGCTGAATAAACATATTAGATTTCTATAGCTTAAAAATTAGTTGACGCCTGAAAAATAACTTATTAAAATAAGACAAAGCAACATAAAAATATTTGTCTTGACATTTTGCCGTTACATTTGTTTACAGTGTAGTTTCAAACACATTTTAATTTATTACACTCAAAAAATGATCTCTTGTTCAAACTGCTTAATTAATATGAGTTGAAACAACACAATTCTTATATTCTGGGGAGGACAACTTAATTGCTTTATGTTCAATTTACTTAAATTTGTAAATATGATTAGGTTGACTTAATCGATTTGTGTTGGGACAACATGAAGGAATTGTGTGGGACCCAGCATTTTAACAGTGTACATTTTAAGAGTCAGACCCAGCACGAATAAACCAAAAATTAAAGGGATAGTTCATCCAAAAATTTAAATTCAGTCATCATCATCATGCATTAATTTTTTTAGTTGAATCAACTTAACCTAGTCATTTCAATTTACATCAATGAAACTGACTAAAATATTACTTAAAATTAACTTTTGTTATTTTATATTATTATTATTTTTCAAAGTGTATTAAGTTATTATTTTTTTATAATATAATAATATATATTTTTTTGCTAAACTAATAATAAAAATAAAAATTGTTGTTCAAAAAAATATATTAGATGAAAACGGATTAACTTATTAAAATATCATAGAAACACTTGTTGTCATGACTTTGTCATTTGTTTTTTTTACAGTGTGTTTCTTCTGTTTAACACAAAATAAGATATTTTAAAGAATGTTTGCAGGCAGCAGCTATTGACTTCATACTATGTCAATAACTGCTGCTTTCCACCATTCTTCAAAGTATCTTCCTTTGTGTTCAACAGAAGTCAGAAATCTATAAAGCTTTAGCACCACTTGAGGGTGACTAAATGGTAAATATTCTCTTTTGGGTGAACTGTCCCTTCATTAAATCGATGTTATGTCAATTCAGAAAACAAATCATGATGACAGTTACCCTTGAATGTTTTTGCACAATAACATAGCTGCAGTTAAAAGTGAATGTCAATAAATAATCCATTTAAAGAGCTGGCAAACATCTGGTTTCAACCATCATTGGCATGTGATTTAGCAGGATTAAATGTGTCATGCCGGATTTTTGGGGTTGGATTAATTTGGAGACACAAAAAGCCACCGGTGAGGGGAAGGGCAGAAAGGTGGAGAGAACTGGAGAGAGAGAGAGAGGGAGATGATGTACGGATGCAGGGAGCGAAGGATGGATTCCAGAGGTGGAGGAGGAGGAGGAGGAGGGGTTTGAGGAGAAACACTGAAGGACAGAGGAATGTGATAAATGGTGTGTTTGTAATGGTTAAGGCAGAGACAACCAGAATTGTGGAATTAAAGTGAGTGGTGTTGGGCAAGAAACGAGAAAAATAAAATGTAAACAAAAAGGACTGGTGCCATTGGTCAATATCAGTGGAAAGAAAATAGGGAATTATGCACTGTAAAAAATTTGACCTTAAATTCACAGTAAATTACTGGCTAATAATTGCATTACTTTCACAGTAAATTACTGTATGTAAATTCACAGTAAATTATTGTGAGGTAGTTCACAGTAATTTACTGTGGTTTTGTCACATTAAATTATTGTGAAATTACAACCATATATTGTAACTTTACAGCAGATAATAAAGTCTGTTACTGTGATTTCACAGTATTATCTTGTAGAATTAACTATATTTTACTGTGAATTTGCAAAACGATTACTGTGATTTAGCAGTAGGTTGCAGTTTAAATACCTGATTTAACTGTAAAGTTACAATTATATCCCGGATTACTGTAATTTAACAGTTTGGTGCTGTAAAATTTCAAAGCAATTTTAGGTCACACAAAAATGAAAATTCTATCTTGATTTACTCACCCTCAGGTTGTTCCAGCTCTGTTAAAAATGTTTTTTTTGTTAAACACAGGAATAAAAATATCAAATAATCCTCTTTGTGTCCAAACAACCTGAGGATGCGTAAATGACGACCGAATCTTCATTTTTGGGTGATCTGAGAAGACTCTAAAATCAAAATAAAAACAAACACACATACATTTTACAGATTTATTTAACAGCTTAATGACATCTGTGTAAACATTTCAGAAAACTTTCAAAAGGTGAAGGTGAAGCCTCAAAAAATACTATAAGAACATATTCATAAAAAAATCTGACATCATATGTAGCATACATATAAAAAGCAGTGCTTCAGAGTGCGCTCTCTCTGTCTCTCATTATATATATATATATATATATATATATATATATATATATATATATATATATATATATATATATATATATATATACACATGAGAGAGAGAGAGAGAGACAAAACTTC